GCATTGCTCCTACAAGGACACTTGTGGTCCTCAGTGCCGACAAACACACTGTCTTTGCCAGAGGTGTAAGGAAGATATCGCTAAGGACAGCTACCAGTTAGCATCCCTTGCTTGAGTCTAGGTACCAAAGGTACTGGGCTATGCATTCAACTTCCCACCAAATCCACACAGGCTCCTACAAAGTATGCATTATTTCTAGTTTACAGATAAGGAAACTGAGCACCAAAGAAATTAAGTAGCTTGCCCAAGATGAAGCCAGGGCACTAAACTGCCGTGTTAAACCTCAGCTTGGGCCTCCACAGCTCAAGTCCCATGCTATTAAATGCATGATGTGTTGTCAGAGGACTTAAGATCGAGTTGTGAAGACTTGAAACGAAAACTCTAGGACAATGATGTCACCCAGGTCTAAAGAAGTCAGAGAGAGGAAAATGGAACTGTCGGAGCAGAAGAAGACTCAATCCTTCCTGTCCTCACTATCTTCTAGTTCTGGAAAGTTCTCTAATGTAGTACTCGACTCATGACCTCTGCCCCCACAACTTTAGGGAAAGATGGAGTCTTAGCTGGGATTGACAGATCCCAAACCAAGAGTAGATTGAAATTATGTGCAAAATTTTGTGTGCACATGCCATGAATTTCCCTGGGAAGCATTTTCATATATTTTTAACAGATTCCAGAGAGGCCCAGCCCACACCCCAATATTAACTATTTGTCTGAAAGGATTCGCAGTGCCACTGTACCTCATGAACTGACTGAAGGCTTTATAGTTGGTAAGTGTGTGATAGTCCTCCTCAGAGAACACATGCTCCACATCCTCCAAGCCCCAGGTCAGAAGCAGGGCAGCTGATGACTTCTGTTCCACCTGCTGAGTGGGGGACAGCGTGGTAGGGTGGGGCTCCCCGACTCCTCTCCCAGACATCCTTCAATGTCTCACTTAGTCTCCACCAATTTCCTGTTCCCCTCTGCAGTCCAGTTCCCATGCTTTACAAACCCCAGCTCCGGCAGCATCCCTCCATCCCCATGCTGACCTGATGCCGACTCCTCGTTCTTACTTCCTAATTCTACTCACCTTTTGCCCCCCATCTCCTTCTCCCCTTTTCCTCCTCTTCGTCTTTTTCTCTTTCTTTTCTCGGTGCTTCCTTCTTCGTTTCCGACCTGGTCCAGTTCCATATTCACTGCCGCCGCTCTCTGACTTCTCCCGGTACTCATCTCGCTCTGAGCCAAATTCCTCTTCGCTGTCCTAAGGAAGAGAAATAAAAATAACACTTAGTCATTCTGACCACGAGCCAAGAACTGTTGCATGAAACATATTTTATCTCTTTCCATCTTTACAACCATCCTATGGAACAGTAGTTGATCTATATTTATTCACTTTTTTACAGAGGAAATTGAGGTACAGGGAGCTAACTACCCAGCCAGGAAGACAGAGGACTTCTAGGCTCTGAATTCACGCAATCTTCTTCCAAGACTGTGGTTTTCTTTTCCCCTCTGTATTGGGATTTAAACCCAGGGTTCAAACATGTGGGGCAAGCTCTCCACCACTGAGCTACACCCTCAGCAAGCCAGTGTGCTCTCAACTGTTTCTCTCAGATTGTAGGACAAGTTACAGTGACAGCTGGACTCTTCACCAGCTTGGAGAAAGTGAGGTTAGGGTTCCGGGTCCAAGAGATGCAGATGAGATAGAGGAGGGAAGGAGTGGAGCCTCTTGACATCAGGAACACCTCGACTCAGGTAACCAGGGCCAGAGAAGATGGACCGTCTCTGGGAAGAGGACCCTTGTGCCTTGCTCCAGCATCAGGGACCCTTGGTACTCACGAGCTTCTTGCGTTTCCGGGGCTTGCCTGGCTTGTTTTCCTTCTGCTTTTTGGGTCCTCGCTTTCTCTTCTTCACACCCAGTGCTGAAGGCAGCAGCCGGATAGCATCTTTATCTTTGGAGAGAAGAGAACCAGGAAACCTAAGCTTGGAGCACCCCAATCCCTGAGGTTCTTCACGGTCCCCTTTCTTCCCAACTCAGACGCACTCTCTAGGAACCCGAGCATCCATTCCGGCCCGTCACCATCACCGGGTGCAAACAGACTGCTTCTAGTACTCTGGGATCCTCTGATTCTGAATGGGAGGTCAAGGGTCAGAGAGGAAGAGCAGCCAAGCCACTCCCCTTTCCCCCTCCTACTAACAAGGGACCAGACTCTAGGCCACCGGCTCAGACGGTGGCAGGTCCTTTCAGTCCTCGCCAGGGCTCCTCCTGCTTTCCCCTCACCCTGCCAGCTGGCAGCGTGCCCAGGAACCGGGGAAGCCATGCCCAGCTGCTGGCCTGGCCTGACCCCAGCACTTGGAGTAGGGAGACACAAGCTGGCAGCTCCCTAAGCCAGATGCTGGGAAGGGAGAGCCAAAGGTGGACACCCGGGTTCTCACACTAACACCCTGGGGCTCTGACATCCTTTTTGCCAAGAGGGAGGCCTCTATTTACATTTTCTTGGATAATCACCCCAATACAGTACTGGGGCAAAAGAAATTCTCAACTAGTCATGCTACCCTCTTGCCCACAGGACCAGTATCTATCTGCCTCTTCACATCCTAACTCAGCAAAAGGAAGTCTGCACAATTCCCTACTTCTCCCAGAGGACTGGGTCTGCCTCCAAATCTTTTCCCAGGGGCTGTACCCTTTATCTCACGGCCTTACCTTTCACCTCTGTATTTTTCCCAGACATGCTGACTCATATATATATATGTATACACTCATACACACACACACACACATACACATGTATATATGCATTACAGGGACACAAATAAGGATATAATCACAGACACAGGTGACATGTGCAGTCTCTAATTCACACACACACACACACACACACACACACACACACACACACACACACGCCTGTACCTGCTTCAGCACAGCTATGTCCCTGGCTCTCTCCCCGGAAGGCTCTGTCAGAGGACTCAGGACAGGTTCTTCCCTGATATCCCACCACCCCATTCTCTCTGACCCCTGCCAGTCTGCTGAAGCTTGGGGACCAGAGGTGTTTCTTGCAGAGGAAGCCCTTATGCCACACACACGAATGCCACACAGAAATGGGGCCCTGGTTCACCTACCCCCACCCCCACCAATCACTCGACTAACCAGCCAGACCTGTCTTGTCCAAGCAGAGGCAGCTGCTGCCAGAGGGGAAAGCCAGGGCTTGGCCCAGCCTCTTGCTCTAGGACACACAATCCTCCTTCCCTCAAGAGCCAAGGAAAAATTAGCCACAATTAACACCCCAGGCCTGGGTTTCCGATCTATCTGATGGTACCTTTCCTTCCACCTCCACAATCTCATGTCCCTGTAAGCAAAAACACTCTAAGATGGGGTGTGGGCATGCAAAGAGGCTGCCTGCCCAGAGGCAGTGTGTGAAAAATGATCCAGGGCTGTAATAGGAAGTCAGACGTCATGCCCAGCAGCTGGCTCCCCTTAACTCTAGGGACTTGGGTTAACACGAACATGGAAACGAAGACCGCGGGGCAAGTGGCAAGGGCAGGCCAGGCTACGCCAACTGGCTAAGGATCAGGGAAGTGGCCCGCTGGGGTCGCCCTGGGTGTGTGGGGCGAGGAAGCCTGTGAACTCCACTTCCCACCCAGCCCAGCAGGAGGTTCTCGGTTTTCGGCCGACTTCGGTGGCCAGCAGAGGGGAAGAATGGCGAGGAGAGGCAAGGGAGGGTAATAAAGCAAATCTAAGCCCCAACCTCTGTCTCAGCAGCCTCTCAATGCTGGCTGCCAGCCCAGACTCTCCCACATCCCGGCTCAGATCTCGGGAAGGTGGGGAGGGCGAGGGCGGAGTCTGGCAGGAGGGCCTGTGGGAGGAGCCTGGGCGCGAGCGAGCCTTCCTCCCGCCCCTCTCTCCTAATCTCGCCATCAATCTCTCACACTTATATTTATTTTTTTTCTCAAATTCCCCTCCCTCCCCCACAACGAACCTCCATAATAGGTCTGCCGCACATGCGTACTGAATGCAGGAGGTGGGTTTGTATTTTCAGACCTTTTGCAAAGAAACTACCAGAATTTTCCGCACCACCCACAATCATTTCCCCACCCCCATCCCCACCCCCCAAGGAATCACATCTATATATTATGTTATATTATTTCTCTAGACTTGCCAGAAGGTGGAGGGAGAAGAAATGAGGTTTTTTTCTTTAGCTTCCTGCTCCCTTCCCCCACCAACGCGAATGCTATTATTTTAAACGTTTAACAATGTAAGGAGACTGGAGCGAGGGGGAAGGGATAAAAATTGGTCTTTGGGTAAGAATGTAAAACAAAATGGTGAGATTCAAAGCAGTCGCACTGAAAAACAATGGGAGGCTCTCACGAGTACAGATTCATATTCCAGAAAGAGACGAGGGCGGGCAGCCCGAACGGAGCTCCTTGGAGGAGACTTATTTTCCCCACACTTAGGTAGACGGATAATGAGTACGCTAAAAATATTTTTTCCAAAGTTTTACCTCAAAGTCATCTGAGGGGGTGTATCTGGGTCACTTACTTGACTTGGAGGGCTGGAATGGGGTGGGGGGGGGGAATGAAACTGCCCAGGGAGACAGAGGAGGTGAGATTTTATTTCAAATATAAAAATTTAAAAGCCCTGGACGCTTCTCCAGGATTCAGGAAGCAGAGACGGGGAGGGAGGGCGCCACACAAAGACCCATGTCGACCTCAGGCTGGTTCCTTCTCCTCTCCTGCAGGCACCCAGTTCCCGGGATCCACACCAGAGCCCGAGCTGGGGACAGTCACCCGAGTTGCCGGCCCCCCCCGGGCTCACCTGCCGAGCCTCCTTTCCCTCTCCCCCCAGCTAGCCGCAGGCTGCAGCCCCCCCACCCGGGATCTTTGATCACCCCCACCCCACCCCAGCGAACCCCGCGGGCTCGGCGGAATAACTTTCTCTCTAAACTTTTCCCCCTTTTCGGGTACGCCTAGCAGGGGGAATGGGCAGCAGAGCATTGAACACACTCACCCACCCACCCACCCCTCCCAAGGCTGTCTCGACACGTGCGACATGGAGTCACCCTGGTCAGTGGGATAGTTTTACAGATAACGTTTTGAAGTTTTGGATGCCTGTGTGCTGCTGCTCTGCGGCCAAGAGACCTGGGGGTGTGGATGCCCCCAGTCGGGGGGGTGCGGACGGACACCTATCCGGAAGAAGACATCCCTGGGGGGTGGGGGGGCTGGTGGCTGCAGGACGTCTGCGGCCGGATAAGGGTCTGTCCCCAGCACAGCTGGACGAGCTGCTCGGGAGTGCCAGATGACCTGTCATCCGGGAGAAGGGGTGCAGAGCGACGGTCAAGCCCAGAGCAGCGGGGGTGGGCAGTTCACGCCCCCCAGCGTGGTCAGGGTGTGTGGGTGGTGTCATGCAAAGAGTGACAGTGAATGGCAGCCACGTGAGAGAGTCCCAGCTGGGCAGTTCGGCCACCCCAGACCGACGGGGTCACGGGGGCGGGTGTGTGTGTGTGTGGGGGGGGAAGGCCCTGCACTTGACACAAAAGAGCCCGGGGCAGAGAGGACGAGGGTGGGGCCGGGGGCATGGGCTCCCCAGACACTCTCCCGTCCCCCCCTCCTCGGCAGTGACCCCAGATCTCGCCGGCCAGCTGCGGGGGGGGGGGGGGGGAGCGGAGGGCAGGTCCCGGCCAGCCTTACTCCAGGAAGTGGTCTGCGTGGAGCGGGGGTCCCCCACCGGCCCCGAGTCCTCAGCCGCGCTGCCCACACGCACACGCCCCCCTCCCCCGCGTGCCGCCACCGCGCGCCCCGGAGTTGGCGGGCACCGAAGTCCCCCTGGCAGGTGGAGGGGCCGGTCCGCGGGGGTGGGGTGGGGTGTGGGGTGGGGGACGGCGGGGGGGGTGGGGGGTGGGGTGGGGGAGGGTTGCCACCGTCCCACCTCCGCCGCCGCCGGCCCGAGTCCCGGCCGCGCTGGAGGGGCGTCGGGGCGGCCGTCGGCGCCCCACACACGGAACCCACCACCACCACCACCACCACCCACCCACCCACCCCCCCGCGCTCACCCCACGCCGCCTCCGTGCGGACCCCAGCGCGGGGACCGAGCCCCCGGGGCGCTCACGCGGCCGCCCCTCCCCCACGCGCCCCTCCCCCTCCCCCCCTCCCGCGCCGCCGTCCGGTCGCCGGGGTCTCGGCGGGTCCCTGGCTCGGCCTGGGAGGCGGCGGCGGCGGCGGCGGCGCGGGGGGGGGGGGGGAGGTGGTGGCCGGGGGGGGGGGGACACGAGACGACCCTGGCTTCGCCGCCGCGGCCGTTTCCTGCCTACCCCCTCCCCGCCGAGGGTGAAAAAAAAAAAAAAAAAGATCTCCTCCCCCGAAAGCCGCGACCAAGTGGCCCGGTCCGCGCGCGCAGCTCGCGCCCAGCGCTCTCCAGCCCGGGCGGCGGCGGCGGCGGCGACCGCGGCGGCGACGGCGGGGGAGGGGTGCGGCGGGGGAGGGGAGGAGGCCTGGCCCCAAGGCCGCCGCCGCCGCCGCCCGGGCCCGCGGGGGCCCGTCGGGACCGGCCGGCCGGCCGCCGGGGACTCGCCTCGGCTCGGCCTCCCCGGAGCGGCCGGGCCCCGCGGCTCGCTCGGCTCGGGCCCGGGGACGCAGTCGGGCGGACGCTTACCTGGCGGCGGGGGCGGCGGCGGCGGCGGCGGCAGCGGCGGCGGCGGCGGCGGCGGCGGCGGCGGGAAGAGGTGGCAGCCGGGGGGGCTGTGGCGGTCGCGGCCCCGGTCGTGGCCCGGCCCGCGCCCGAGGACTCCCTCGTCGTCCTCCTCCTCCTCCTCGTCCTCGTCGGCCGCCTCCACCTCCTCCTCCTCCTCGTCGCCCTCTTCTTCCTCCTCTTCTTCCTCCTCCGACACCACCATCTCCTCCTCCTCCTCCTCCTCGTCCCTCAGAGGGGAAGCCATCCTGTGGCTCTGGCCCCCCCACCACCCCCCCACCCACCGCCCGCCCGCCTCCCCCACCGCTACCACCACCACCTCCTCCTCCTCCTCCTCCTCCTCCTCCTCCTCGGCGGCGGCGTCCTCCTCCTCCTCCTCCTCCTCCTCACCGCCTCCCCCAGCCCCCCAAGCCCCCGGGCCACCCCCCTCCAGAACACCCACCCCCGGGGCCGGCGTCTGAGGAGGGGGGCCGCACCACCCCCAGAAATGTTCTTGGAAAAAATTTAAGGACTTTTCCCCCCCTTCTCTCTTTCCTCCCAAGAGAACAAGAAAGGGAGATCGTTTTTTTAAAAAAAAATTATATATATATATGTATATAAAAGTTTTCGACTTCTCTCTACCCCCCTCGGTTGCTTTAAATATATTTAAATTCTGAGGGGGGCGCTCAGAAATATTTCTCAGAGCTGAGGCACTAAGATGGCCGCCTTGAAATTATTTTTAAAACAACCCCCCCTCCAGCACCGCCACCCCCCTCTATAAAGAAAGAGAGAGGGGGGTAAAATCCCCTTTTAAAACAAAATGGCTGGCTTAATATTTCATTTTTCATACACCCCCCTTCTCCCTGTTACATCCCATCTCCAAGCTTCTACTCAGAAACCCACTAATTTCTCCTTTTTCATAACTGATTAGTGCACAGATTAATACATTTTCCTTGTGTATTGAGAGAGAGAGAGTGTGAGTGAGTGTGTGTGTGTGTGTTGGGGGGCAAGAAGGATTTCTGCATAAAACAAAAATGGCTGCTGTGACTTAACTCCCCCCCTTATAAAAATATTTGGGGGGGCATTAATCAGTACTCATGCTCAGTCTGACATCAGCATAAATTGTTAAAGGTTAACTAGTTAGATACTAGTCCAACTAGACTGAATTTTTCTTTTCTTTACTAGTCTTGTTCCTCCCCCACCTCCCTTCTCTAAAGAAAAGCTTTTTTTTTTTTTTCTGAATACTTCAGAAGGGAGTGGTTTGATGTGAAGGGTTTTTTTTTTCCCTTCAGGCATTGAAAAGGAAAAAGATGAAATATATGTTTATATATAACTCTCTCCATACCTCATTGAAGTCAAAATGCATTTAATTGTGTACGTGTCGTTTAAATGAGAAGCAGTACTGGGTTTTTTTTTTCTTCTTTCTTAAAAAAAGTGACAGAGAGATCCTAGTGACTTTTGGGGAGAGACATGAATAGATACGATGATTGAGTTTTTTCAAAGGAGTCCATGTTTGATTCTCTCTTCGCCCAGCCTGTTCGGGGGTTTGTAATTGTTGTCAGTTTTATCTCTGCTCTTCCCCCCCCCCCCCCCCAGTTGCCTGCTTGTAAAATCGTCTGACTTGGGAAATTAATTTGGGGGTAAATAGGACAGATGTTTAGAATAAAGAGTCAAGTCTGGAGATTGTGAAATCCTTCTTTCTCCTGTTTCAGTGTCCATCTCTTCCTCCATGATCTTCCGATAAAGTAGAAGAAACTGAGGCACTGGGGCAAAGTAGCGGACCGAGAAGCAGAGAGGTAGGAGTGCGCCCAGGCCTTCTCACCAAACTGGCTGACCCGGGATTTCCAACCGGATCCCAGTGTTTATCTTCAGGTTGGACCAGGGGTCAGAAGGCCAGTGGACAAGGAGTCCAGAAGTAAGTTTGGCTTATAGAGATTTGACAGAGCCGAGAATGGAACTTGCCAAGAAGCAGGGCAGGTAGCCCGGGGGCTTCTCTCTCTTCTCTCTGCCCCGTCTGTGCTGCCTCCTAGCCCTGGCCTCTGGAGAAGCATCTCCTGAGTCATTTCTCTACTGCCCCTCAGCTTTGCACTGTGCACAAGGACCCCAAGAAGAAGGTAGGCAACAACCCAAAAAGTATCGGTGACAGAGAAATCGTCCACAAATGTTTGTTTGCAATGCTAAAGTGTTAATCAATGGTCTACTCCCTGCCCCCCCTCACACACACACACACACACACACACACACACACACACACACACACACGCACACTAGCACTTTATTGAACATTGGTTTCTGTCTTTTTTCTTTCTTTCTTTTTTTTTTTAAGTGGAATTCTCTTGCTATGGGCCCATATTGTCCCGGCCCATCCTCTCTCAATCTCGGTACTAGTCTGAGTGGGTATCCCTTCTTTCTGTGTGTGGGCTCCTCTCTAAGTGTGCTCTATTCATCACTGAGACTCTCTTGTACCTTTGACTCGAAGGGCGTCATCCTTTCTAAGAGACTCTCCATCTCTGGCTCCTGTTTACCTCTCTCTTCCAGCCTGAGAATGCACGTGGGTCCTCCTGTATGCCTGACCAGTACTGAGAAGGATGTCCACACAGCATGTGGCAGCAGTCTCCCGGGCTAGGCCCCTCTGCCTGCCTGACATATGTGTCCTGTGCAGCAGGTGTGAGTGTCTGAAGGGGCCGATGGGCCTCCCCGTGCAGGCCTGCGGCCTCTGCTCTCCACCACTGGGCTTGCTCCTCGGCCCAGCTCCTTTCCTGGGTTCCCACCCCCTCTCCTCTGCCTGTCAGCACTTGCTCCTGCTCTTTTTGCTTCCTAGTGACCTCTGGATCTGTCTTCTCACCTTGCCTCCGCCTGCCTCTCTACCTGCTCACTTCTGTTATGGTGTTGCCTGCCTGCCTGTCTGTTCCTCCCTCACTGGCTGGCAGCTTCTTTCTCTCCCTGGTTGTCTGTCTGCTTCTCTGGCTGTTTGCCCACCACTCTCTCTCTAGCCATCTGTCTGCCCGCCTGCCTGTCTCTGTCACTTTTAAAGCCTGAATCTCTTGGTTTGTCTACCTTCCAGGACTGGCCACAGTTGCCCACAATGGTCTGCCTCTCGCCTCGACCTTCTTGTTTCGGCTCCCGTGTCTCTGCTAAGTCCATCACTTTTCTCCCCCTCTTTGGAGCTGTGTCCTCTCGCCTGTCTGTCATGCTGTCCGCTGCTCTCCCACTGTTTAATGTTTGTTTCATTTCTTTCTACTTATCAGCTTTTTCTCCCTTGGCTTCCAAGGGTGGTGTCAACAACCTACCAAGGGTCAGTTTCTCTCCCCAGGCCTTTCGGTCCTCTCTGGCCTTAAAGTCTCATCAGCATTCACAGCGGATTCCTTCTCGCCTTCTTTCCCACCTTCTTTCCCGTCTCCTTTTTAATTATCTCTTCCTACCTTGCTTGCCTTCCCAGGCAGTCTGCCTCCTCAGTCTTTTTGTTGGTTTCCCAGTCTCTGTGTTCCTGGCTTTTTGCTGTTTGCTTGGCAGGTTCTGGCTGTCCACATCTCGGCTTGCTTTTCTTTCTTCTTGTTTGTTTTAGGTATTTATCTCCAGTCAGCTTTCAGATAGACACAAACATGGTCTGAAATTCTAAAAGTAAGAAACCTATACTATAAAAAGTCGGTCTCGGGGCTAGAGAGACAGCTTAGTAATTAAGAGCATTGGCTGCTCCTCCAGAGGACCCGGGTTTGGTTCCCAGTACTGTCACAGTGGCTGACAAACATCTGTAACTCCACTTTCAGGGAATACAACGCCCTCTTCTGGTGTCTATGGGTACTGCACACATGATATACATACAGGGAGATAAGATACCCATATACATAAAAAATAAAAATTAGGGGCTGGAGAGAGACGGCTCAGCTGTCAAAAGCTCTTGTTGTTCTTGCAGAGGACTTGGGTTTGGTTCCCAGCACCCACATGGTAGCTCACAACCACCCTTCTGTAACTCCAGTTCCAGAGAATTCGATACCCACTTCTGACCACCAAGAGTACTGGGCACACATGTGATACACATACACACATGTAATACACATATACACATGCAGCAAAATCACTCATATACATCAAATAAATAGATGCTTTTTAAAAATAAAACTTTTAATGAAGAAAAAAAAGTAAGTCTCCATCTGTCCTTCTCTTCCAGGCCCAGAATTCCTCTTCCAAGAGTCGGTCACTATTACCCTTTTCAGATGCCACTCCAGGGAAGGCCACACATATGAACCCGCGTCACTCTCCTGCACACAGATACTCCCATCCCTCTTTGCTGTGTTTCTCCTCGCCTCTCTCCCAGGTTCGCTGGGTCCTCTTGTCACTCGTCAGCTCGTCAGTACTGCCTGACTTTGCTGGGCTCACCACCTCTTCCCTCCTGTCTTTCTGATTCTACTTTTTTGTTAAAGGCTTATTTATTTATTATTTTGTATACAGTGTTCTGCCTGCCTGTATGTCTGCATGCCAGAAGAGGGTACCAGATCCCAATATAAACGATTGTGAGCCACCATGTGGGTGCTGGGAATTGAACTCAGGACCCCTGGAAGAGCAGCCAATACTCTTACCTGCTGAGCCGTCTCTCCAGCCCCCTGATTCTACTTTGTAGGTGTGACAGGGACAGGTGTCATCTTTTTAATTGACTGGTGGCTCTTTGCTTGCTTTTACTACCAAAGCAGTGCTTAGGAAGGGCTTACTCTCGGCTGATCTGTTCTGTTCCGCCTGATGAGTTATCTGGATGGCAGCACACCCTTGTCTCTTCACTACAGTGTGTGTTTTGAAGACATGCCCACACACACTGGAAGTGCTGAACTGCCGCGCCAATGCAGGTGGACTTCGTAAGTGCAGTCAGGGGGTGAACTGTGCTCATGTGCACATAAAGTAGGTAGATGCCTGCTTGCTGTTCTTGTCTAGGCTTACATGTCCAATCTTTTCTTTTTTAGGGAGACAAAATCTAACTATGTAGCCCAGGCTGGCTTTGACTTGAAGATCTTCCTGAGCCTCCCAAGCACACATCTGTAGGCATGCCCCACTATGCCTAGGCCTATGTGGATTCTTCTAGAGGCCTGTGACTCTGGATTCTTTGGGGTTGTTGACTTAGGTCTGTCCCAGACGTTTGCCTTCTTCCTTATCTACAAAATGTGTTCTTTATCAAAACTTCTCCCCCAACCCTACCTCAGACCCTTTCTTCTAGCTCCTGTCCATGCTCTTAGAGTCAAAGACTCAGCGGGTAACCAGGTCTCTTTGAGAAGATGATAAGATTTCTCCATACAGTGTACACAGTTGTTTCGTTTTGCTTCTTAAATGGCCTGTGTTCCTGAATTTAAAACTCTTTCGGCCTCTCTCGCTTCTTGGTTCTTTCACGTGTCTGTCTTCCTCTCTGTTTCAGCCTTTCCTGACTGACTCCCTCCCTGCCCTTCTAGCTGCCTGGCCTGTATCCCATCCCGTCTGTCCGTCTGTTGGGTTCTCCGTTTGCCTGCAGTCATGCGTGTTCCAGCACTTGGTGAAGTGCGAGGCACGTGTTTATAGAAGACAGTCCTCTGTCTCCTTTCACCTCTCTTCCGTCACCTGCCTCATTCTCTCTTGGTCTTTGCTTGACGGCGTTTGTCTTAGAAGTACTGCCTACTTCTCAGAGTCATTCTTCTTTTTCCTTGCCAGCCTGCTTTCCTGACATGCTCTGTCTGCTCAGTTCTTGACTCTCCGTCTGTCTGTCCGTCCGTGTGAACAGGTTCCTCTGGATGTCTTCTCTCTGTTTGTTCTCTCTGTCCTTCGGCCTTTTATCTGTGCCTGTATGCTTCTCTGTCTCCAGACGCCTGTCCCTGCCGTCAAGTTCAGTGTGGGCATCAGTGCTCTCTTCCTGTATTTCCAGAAATTAGAAAGGTTGGAATCCTTGTAACTAATCCGGGGAGACTGTTTCTTTATTTAGAAGGGTGCACAGGTGAGAATGAGGACTATATGGACATGCAGTCACCAATGTATACTAGAAGCCGCTGGAACTTCCCAATGTAAAATAAAGAACACGGAAAAGCATTGAGGGAACCCCCAGGCGAGGAGTGAAATCATCTAAAGCAAAACCAAGAAATGTATCTAAAGCAGTAGTTACAAAGCCTTCAGATTATAGAAAGTTATAAACTATTTGGCTAGAAAAAGACAGACACTCTTTCAAGGGGAGAGAAGAAGATCTGGCTCTATGCAGACAAGCCGACAAGCTTCATCGTAGACCTTTATGTGCTGGGCTGAGGAGATAGTTCAGGGGGAAACTGCTTGTCACACGAGCATGAGGACAGAGTGCCATCTCCAGCACCCACTTAAAAGTCAGTGTGTGCCGGGCGGTGGTGGCGCACGCCTTTAATCCCAGCACTCGGGAGGCAGAGCCAGGCAGATCTCTGTGAATTCGAGGCCAGCCTGGGCTACCAAGCGAGTTCCAGGAAAAGGCGCAAAGCTACACAGAGAAACCCTGTCTCGAAAAACAAAAAAGAAAAAAAAAAAGCCAGTGCGTGCGTGCGTGCATGTGTGTGTACGCATAAAATATCATGTATGTGTTAACGGTGTTAGGAAGACATTCAGGCGTGTGACCCCAAGTGAAAAGCCTGATCTAGGAACCTAGTGAGAATTAGTGAGCACAGACCTGTGGGCGTGCTCAGTGGACATTTGGCAGTCTACAGTTCTCAGTCCAAGGACAGAATAAAGAGATCCTCAATTATCTTTTGAAATAAATGTTAGAGATAAAAGTGAAAGAGAGGTAGATGCTCAGGATATCCTAGACTTAACCATGGAATTTTAGTGATGAGAAGTCATCCAAGTCATTGGTCCCTAAATTGTACTGTCCTGGAAAAGTCTAGCCTTACTCTGAGATTTTATAAATATATATATATATATATATATATATATATATATATACACACACACATATATATACACACACATATATATACACACACATATATATACACACACATATATATACACACACATATATATACACACATATATATAATCAGATATAATGTATTTATACATATATCAGGCTGGCTTCACAAAGATCTTCCTACCTCTGAGTCCTGAGTGCTGGGATTAATGGTGTGTGTTACCATACCTGGCCTAATTTAGTCATTCATATGTAATATGAAGCACAGAAAAATCACACAAATTTTCACAAACGCAACCAAAAGTTGAACATCATTGTGTGTCTGTCGTAGCTGATGAGAACGTTGCATAGAAACTAAGTTTCTCCTGTTCCTTTACTCTTCTAAGTGATGTACTTGATCCATGTATGTGTACACGAGGACATGAGCTCCATCTCCAGAACCCACCTAAAAAGCCGGCATTGGTGTGCAGCTAGCTAGCTTAGTCTCATTAGCACGTCCCAGGTCCTAGTGAGAAACCCTACCTCAAAACACAAGGTGGACAGAAAACCTCAACCTCTGGCCTCCACGTGCACCAGAACACATGTGCGTGCATAATTTCACACAACACACACATGCAATAGTCATAATAATTCTTTACTTAAACCAGTAAATAATAATATTAAAATGAACATTTATCCATCATTCAACATATTAAATATAATATCACTGGTATCGTTAAAACCTCATGTAGGAGTTGGAGAAATAGCTTGGCAGTGAAGACCACTTACTGCTCGCGTAAAGGACCTGGATTCATTTTTCAGGACGTATGTGGCAGCTCATAGCTATCTATAGTTCAGGTCTAGCAATCCAATGCCCTCTTCTTACCTCCCTGGTCTCCTGCATAGAAGTGCTCATACATGCATGCAGACACACAAACATACACATAAATAAAAAAATAAGTAAGTAAAATAGGAAAACCTCATGTGGTACTTAACTGTTTCTACACATTCCCATCCTTCACCACCACCCAAATTTTGGGCTTAAAATTTGCTTGTTTTGCCGGGTGGTGGTGGTGCATGCCTTTAATCCCAGCACTTGGGAGGCAGAGGCAGGCAGATCTCTTGTGAGTTCGAGGCCAGCCTGGGCTACAGAGTGAGTTCCAGGACAGGCTCCAAAGCTACACAGAGAAACCCTGTCTTGAAACCCCCCCCCCAAAAAAAAAATTGCTTGTTTTTGGGCTAGAGGAGATGGTTCAGTGGTTAAGAGCACTGACTGTACTTCCAGAGGCCCTGGGTTTGATTCCCAGCACCACATGGTAACTCACAACCATCTGTAACTCCAGTTTGAGGGGACCCAGCACCCTCTTCTGGTCTTTGTGGATACCAGGCATACATGTGGTACACAGACAATACATTCAGGCAAAACACCGTACACATAAAATAATTTTATAAAATCATTTTTTAAATTAAAAACAATTTTTCTTTTCCTTCACATCTGTAACTTTAAAAAAAATTTATTTATTTATTTGGTGTGCATGTGTGTGTGTGCGTGTGCATGTGTGTGTGCACGCGCACGTGCACACGTACGTGCACACCTCAAGCTCTAGCACATATGTGGAAGCCAGAAGACCTCTTCAGAATTCACTTCTTTTCTTCCACCATGAGTGGTCCTGAGATTGAACTTAGTTCATTAGGCTTGGTAGTAAGCCCCTCTAACCACTGAACCATCCCATAGTCCATTGTAACTTCTTACTTTTTAAAACTTTCTAATCTATAGAAAAACCTGAAAGAATCCAGTTCTCCTCACATAGACTCAACTGATTGTTAATATTCTGTACATTGGCAGTGAGTGTGCCGGCTGATTTTATGCCACCTTGACACAGGCTGGAGTCATTTGGGAAAAGCAAATCTCAGCTAAGAAAATGCCCCCAGCAGACTGGCCTATGGGCAAGGCTGTGGTGCATTTTCTCAATTAATGATTGATGTGTGGGCCCAGCTCACAGTGGGCAGGGCCACCCCGCACTGGCAGTCCTGGATACTGTAAGAAAGCAGGCTGAGTGAGGAAGGAGTAAGCCAGTAAGAGCCATGGCCTTTGTGCCAGCTCCTGCCTCAAAGAAAGTCCCTGCCCTGCTCGAGTTCCTGTCCTAACTTCCCTCAGTGATGGACTATGATGTGGAACTGTAAGCCGAAATAAATTTCCCTTGCAAGTTCTCAAGGTATTTTTATCTCAGCAGTGGAAAGTGGTGTGGAAACCCTAACTAAGACAATGGACAGATTCTTGTGATCCAGTCTTAAGTGAATAAATATTAAATTGTGCGTGTAGTATAATTCCAACCATGCAGTGAAATATTGCAAGGGGGATAAGTAAAGGGTTCATAATGATTTTCATAGAAATAAGCATTATTTTGTTTTCTATATATTTATACTTCTCTCCCTAGAATTTTCTCTGTAGTACATATTCTATGATGGAAAAATAAAACTAAGTTGAGAGAGAGAGACTGACTGACTGATTTGTGGTCATGAAGTTTGGTAGTCTCAAACAGAGCATAACCCTGGAAGGCCTGGGTTCAATACCTAGAACAGACCCCATATCTGAGAGCAGTTTCTGTGTGTGTGCGTTGTTGGAGGTTAAGCCCAGAGCCTTCTGCATGCTAGCCAGTGACTCTGTGCTGACCTACAACCCCATCCTAGGAGAGTCTAATTTTAGATCCAGGGTTCTTTCCAAACTCCTCAGTCTTGTACTGAAAACCTGCATTTCTTGAAGGCTCCCGAAGTCTTGCTCAGATCCCTAACTCCTCTCCTTTGATGTTAGTTTCTGAGGCCCGTGGGATGGCTCAGTGAGTACTCGCAACCATCCCTAAAGGCCTAAGTTGGATTCCCAGGATCCACACTGTAGGAAAGAATCAACTCCTTCAGGTTGCCCTCTGGTCTCCACATGTGTGCAGTGGTGTATGCACCACAGCATGTACACACATACACACACAAATGTATAAAGACACACAATTTTACATGAAAACAAATAGACTCATTTTTCCTAGTATCAAGTTTCTAACTCTTGATCACTCTCCTTATTCACTGAAGACTGAACCCTGGCCCATGCCTTGGGTCACCTTAGGAGTCACCTAACTACCTAGACCCTGACTTCATGGCTTCCAGAGACCTCCGTCTGTCACACTTGGGGTGATCCTGGCACACCCACTTCAGTCCCAGCCCTCCTCTGCCCTTGCTTTCTCATGCACTCACCGCCACTGTTCTTGGACCGTGAAATCGCCCTTTTCTTTAAGTCCTCATTTTCTCCAAACTAGCCCCACTTACACTTCACCTTTTCAGCTAGCCACTCCTCACCACGGCCAGTGTGCCGCTCTTTACGTTCACCACCGCCAGTGTGCCGCCCCTCACCACTGCCAGTGTGCCGCTCTTTACGTTCACCACTGCCAGTGTGCCACTCCTCACCACGGCCAGTGTACCGCTCTTTACGTTCACCACCGCCAGTGTGCAGCTCTTTACGTTCACCACCGCCAGTGTGCCGCCCCTCACCACCGCCAGTGTGCCGCCCCTCACCACCGCCAGTGTGCTCCCTCGCTTACTTTCCTGCAAACGCTGTCCTTGGATCCCTGGCTGTTCACCACCATGGTGCAAAGTGCAGCGTCCAACCAAGATCGTCAGACTAAGTCCCTCCTCAGGAATGTTGTCCTAGTCAGCTTCCTTTGTGAGTCAGCGTTCTCCACAGTGGCTTTTCTGTTTCTTATTTTTAAAATAGTTTGGTTTTAATAATGTGTATGTCTGTGTGCACATCAGTGCAGGTGCCTGCAGAGGCCGGAGGCGTTGTATCCTCTGGAGCTGGGGTTTCGGTCACTGTGGGCCACCAGTGTGGGTGCTCGGGACTGACCTGAGTCCTCTGCAGCAGCGGTATGTTTTGTTAGTCACTGAGCCACGAGGGCATCCTAACACCATCCTCACATCCATCCCTTAAAGGAAGTGTGGTCCACTTAGAGAGGATGGAATGAAGGAGAAAGGACAGGGAGAAAGAAGAGAAAGACAGATCCAGGCAGAGTGGTGCACATCTGTAATCCCTGCACTTGGGAAGTGAAAGCAGGAAGATCAGGAATGAAAGGCCATTCAGAACTATCCAGAAAAATTGAAGCCAGCCTGGGGCTATGTAAGACCTGCCTTAAAAAAAGAAGAGGTGGGGTGGGGAGTGACAGATAGGGATATAGTTAAATATGAAGAATTAAAGCCTGTTTTCAGGAGACTGTAGGGAGAGGGTTCTAAGTTCAAGACCAGTCTAAGTTAGATAACAAGACCCTGTTTCAAAAAGTAGATTTGGCATTAGTATTTCAAAGGAGTCCTCTTCTGATTAAACCGCTATTAATACATTAAAAATGTTCAAATGAGCCAGGCATGGTGACACACACCTTTAATCCTAGTACTCAGGAGGCAGAGATAGATCTCAGAGAGTTTGAGGCCAGCCTGGTCTACACGGCCCCTTGCAGGCCAGCCAAGGTTACATAGTGAGCGTCCGTCTTAAAAAAGAAAAAAAAAAAGGTTTAGAGGATGGAGAGATGGCTGTGGTTGAGAGCAGGTCTTCAGAGGACTTGATGGCATTCCCAGAACCCACTTTGTAACTCTAGTCCCAGGGGACCCACACCCTCTTCCAGCCTTCTCGGACACTGCACAGACATACATGCAGGCAAAAACACCTTTCTACATAACTAAATACAATTAAAAAAAAGTTTAAAATGAACAAGAATGAGATACAGCAAATATTTTTCTGACCTTGAGTATGAAAAAGCTTTAAGCTACAATGAGCAAAGCCATAAAGGAAAATCCTTATACGTTTAACTTAATAAAACTAAAATTTTCAACTGGGTGCTGGTGGTGCCTGCCTTTAATCCCAGCAAAAGCAGGCAGATCTCAGCATTCAGCCTGGTCTACAGAGTGAGATCCAGGACAGCCAGGGCTACACAGAGAGACCCTGTCTCCCTGTCTCGGGGTGGGGGGTGGAGGCGGGTGGAGAAGAAAAGGAGACTTTGCCTAGGAAATGATGAAGTTACAGAACTGGTTGGGAGGGCCAGAGAAGCACTGCAGCAGTAACCTGTAGAGTAAGCAGCATGGTGCAGGCCTGGCCCAGCAGAGTTCTTCCTGTCTCTACAGTGGCCAGGAAGCTGTTGCATCAGCAGCTGGTTCCACAGTCCCTCTAACAGTATTAAGTGACGGGATTCAGTGAGTAGAAAGGTCAGTTACAAGGGGAGGCGTGAGCTAATGTCTGCTTGCTTAGAAATGGGTTCTTACTGTGTCACCTTGGGTGTTCCAAACTTGAGAGTCCAGGTGACTGTCCTGCCTCAGCTTCCTCAGTGGCTGGGAACTCCAGGTGTAGATCTCCACATCTGGCTGTAATGTTTCTTTTCCTTTCCTTTTCTCTCTTTCTTTCTTGCCTGTCTTCCTTCTGCTCCTCCTTCTTTCTTTGAGATAGGGTCACACTATTGTAGACCTTGATTGGCCAGCATTGAACTCACAGAGATCCATCAGCCTCGGCCTCCATTCCACTCTGTGCCAGCTGTTGCCTTGATTAAATAAAGACCTCCGGCCAGCGTTGGGATGGCTCAGAAGGTTAAGACACAATCCTTACGACCCATTTGGTAGAAGGAGAAAACCATTACCCTATAAATACATGCTTTGACAACGCTCCCCTCTACACAAATAACTAAATGAAATATAATTTAAAAAATTAAAGACCTCATAGAAATCCATAACAACCAAAACATCACTAGAAAAATACAAGAATATGTTTTATAGATAAAAGGAGATGAGTTAATACTTTGTGTCCAGGCTCTTCCCTAAGTAAGTACTTAAAACCTTACACAGCAGTAACCCTCACAATCCCCATTTTACAGGTAAGGAAACTGAGGTAAAGGGATGTTAAATAGCTTGTCCAGGGTCAGAGCTATTTAGAGATAAAGTAGGCTTTTTATTAGCCAAACTCAAGGACCTCCTCAAGGGCTGCATTGTCTGACTCCTGACATAGAAACCAATTTGCCCTATACAAAGTTGAGTTGTACTTTATGTACAAATAATTTACTAATATAATAATTTATTATACAGATTAAGCATCTCTACTATGATAATTAAAATGTTTCAAAATCTAAGACTTGAATATTAACATGATACCCTCATGTTAGGGTCTCAGCAAAAATGTTGACATGATAAGAATGTTGCATTAAATTACCTTCAGGCTATGTCTGTAAGAAATATGAAACATAGGTGTCTTTTGAGTTTGGATGATCCCATATCCAAGATTTTTCTTAACGTATACTCAGACATTCCACAATCCAAAAACATCCCTAATCTCACAGCTTGTCCCAAGCATTTGGGACAAGGGATATCCTGAAGTTTGCTGCTGCCTGGCCATCTGGAAGTGCCTGGCTCTGTTGTCAGTTCCTGTGTCCCAGCAGAGTCAGCTGGCACCTCTCCCAGCTGGTCGGCTACCCTGCAAGGTAGACTCTAGATGTGTCCCAGGACTGGTTCGTGCCAGCTGGCTTCCTCCTGCTCCGCACTTGCTCTCAGCCCTTTCTACTGCCTAGCTCTCTGCATAAGAGAAGCGAGTTAATGTCAGATTAAAGTAGCTACAGCTTGTGTATTTAAAACAACTAGTTTTTAAGATTCTATATTCAAAAACTATAACCCCAGAAATCCATCCCAGAGCCAGTGGTGAAGTTACCCTGTACTCGTGAGGAGAGGAGAGAGTTTCCCAGTCAGAAAGGTAGACGAACCCTGCCCTTTGCCCCCACCCCCAGCAGGCTCCTCCCAGTGCCTACCTGCCGAGCCAGCCTGCCTCACCTTGTAGTGAGGATTAAGTGAGCTGACTTAAAGCTCTGCCTGTAGAAGAGGGTCAACAATTGCTACTTGTTCTAAATAATCAGATTTACTAGTAAGATGATTCCCACTTCAGAGGGTTCCTGAGGATTCCGAGGTGACAGGATTGGTGACCTTGATTATTAAAAAAAAAAAAAAATCCTAAACTTAAGGTGCGAGAGATGAACTTCAGTTATTGTTATTCCCAAGAATCTTCCATTTCCTTGCTTCGCTTCATTGTGCATAAAACTCAACTCTGACAGGACATGAAACAACCACATCTAACTTGACTCAGTAATTCTCAGGGACGCAGAAACTATTTGGTTGGAAATAGAAAGTTAGTCACAAATATGGTCTACTAATTTCCTAATCATGACAGATGTTCCTGGATGCTAAATATTGCCCAATCTCAGGCATTTCCAAGGGACACAGTTGTTACAAAGCATGACTAGCATAAGAACTCCAAAGGAAATGAAGATGTTGGAGTGTTTTTTGGAAGGACCTTCAGAATGGTGGGCGTTTCTCCGTAACTTATTTGGTCTCCGCCGCATACAAGGGGCTGGCTTCTGTCTAGGCCATCGCAGGACTATGCCTACAGTCCTTGCTGCCACTGTTGTCCCTTCCTTGTGGATGACGAAACGGCATA